ACCCTGGTTGACACCGTGCTGGTTACCACCCTGGTTGACACCGTGCTGGTTGCCACCCTGGTTCCACCCCTGGTGGTTGCCACCCTGTCCTAGGCTACGGCTGACGACCACCTGGCCAGCGACGTGGTTTCCTCGCTGGCTGCTCTGACCCTGTCCCCAGCTCCAGCTGCTACCCTGGTTGCTACCCTGCTGGTTCACACCCTGGTGGTTAACACCCTGTCCCCAGCCACGACCGCTAGCCTGGTGAACACCGTGGTTTCCGACCTCGACGGACTGGTCATCTTCGTCGCTACCGGCCCAAGGGCTGCTCACTACCACCCAGCCGTTGCCTTTCTTTCCGACCTGGTTGACACGGTTGCCTCCGCTCACGGGGTTGTTCATGAGGTGGCCGACGCTCCAGGGCTGGTCGACGTCAGCAGAGTTGGTCCAGGAGTTGGTCCAGGAGTTGGTGTGACCGGCACGGGACTGCTCGCTGGCGCCTCCCCAAGGGTTGGAACCGTAGCCGTTTCCGTTTCCGCTCCAGGCGCCGCTGCCGCTCGCCTTCCAGGAGCTGCCGCTTCCCCAGCCACTTCCGTGCTGGCTCTGCTGCCCGGCCCAGGGGCTGCCAGATCGGCCCTGCTGCTGCTGACTACCCCAGTTGCTGCCGCTGGGGTTGTTGCGGATGTTGGCAGACATGCCGCTGCTGCCCCAGGATGGGCTGTTGACGCCGTGCTGGCCGCCCTGCTGGACGCCGTGCTGGCTGTTCCACTGGTTGGAGGAGCTGCCGACCTGGTCATCGTCTACGCCAGCCCAGGGGTTGCCAGGGTAGACTCCGTACAACTGGCTGCCGCTGGGGCCCACCCCCTCCACGATGGTCATCTCCCAGGTGCTGCCGTGGTTGCCGCTCTGGCCCCAGGGCGAGGACCGCTGGGCGCTCCCCCACTTGGGGCGCGCCTGGCACGAGGCCGCCAGCAGCAGCGTAACCTGCACATCAAAGCAACCACATGAGGGGCGTGAGGACCAAAGGAAGCGCACACGACCAACTTTACAAACACTATACACCAGAACCAATCACTAAAACATTCACTTCCAGAGACGCACGCGGAAAAAAAAACGGCGCCGCGTTAAACCACTGCTCACTCACCGCCAAAAGTTTGCAGTACATCATCGTTGCAGGGATTGTCGCGAACGAATGTCCCCCAGACCGGCGGGGTCCCATCTTTATATACAATGCACGGCGGTCGGGCTTTGATATGGGAAGGGCAGGGCGGACACATGCGATGACACGGTCGCCATGGTGACGAAGGGACCGCGACAGGCCCACGCCGACGGGCCCGCGAGGAGGAGGAGGAGGCCTCGGCCATCGCCGCTGTCAGGCGCTGCGCGACGCGTGAGGAGACCGCACACCTGCTTCCGCGTCCTGAGGATGCGAAGAAGATGATTGTCCCCCGGATCAAAAACAAGATCTCGACGGCCGGCCGGTGGGTCGCGCGGTGCGTCGGGCGTGGGCGGGGCGGCCCCGGCGGCCCTCAATGTGAATAGGAAAGGAAAGGAGGGGGGAGGGACACGCGACCGCTGCACTACGCGCGGCACAGTGCCCACATTGGACTCGCGAATATTGTTTTCTTATCGGCGTTCTGGCCGGTCGGGCGACGGCCTGACCTGCTGACCGACGTCTTAGGGGCCGAACAGCGTTAGGCCTGGGAAGGCTGTGCGATTACCAGAGGTCAATGATTTTGGGCGTCTGGGGTGGGCTGCTCAGGGAGCGATACGAATGGAAGGCAGGGACGGGAGGGGTGCTGCCGATGGAGCTAGGTACGGTCAGGGCGCTGAAGCGGTGCTCACCGACCGTCGCTAGTCGTCCTCGGGGTCCGCCTTGATGATGCCCAGCCTGCGCGCCACGGCGCGCACCGAGTTGATGACCTCCTCCTGGACCAGGTTGAAGCTCATGGCGAGCAGCGCGATGCCGAACAGCAGGTACAGCGAGCACAGCGCGATGGACACGGTGGCGTTGTTGGTGACGCGCTGCGCGGGCACGAAGTCGCCGAAGCCGATGGTCGTGAGGGTGATGAAGCAGAAGTAGGCCGAGTCCAGGTACTCCCACTTCTCCCACTCGGCGAACAGGTAGGCGCCGCCGAAGATGTAGCTGACGACGAGGAACACGCACAGCCAGATGGGGACGGGGCGCAGGCGCGCCGGGCCGCCGGGCCCGGGCCCGATCCCGCTGCCCGCGTCCCAGCCCAGGTCGCCCATGTCCATGTCCAGGCCGTCGTCCGGGCCCACGACGCGGAACAGGTTGCGGTTCATGCCGAAGCCCATCGGCGACATGATGCGCGGCGAGGGCGCCAGCTCCGGGTGGTGGCGGCGGGGCTGCGGGGCGTACCCCGGACCTGCGTGACACACGCGCATGTCGTGGTTTAAGTTTCAAGACTTAGAATTGAAAATTCGATTGCCTCGAGAAAATGAACGGGGTGGTCCGTTCTTTCTTCTGATTACACTGTAACAGATGCAGGCGTGAGGATGGGTTGCACACTTGCACGGAGCCGTAGCGGCGCCTAGGTGAGCGACGATAGGCAAGTCCGCCCGCACGCCTGCATGCAGTACAGTGTAACCGGAAGGAAGAAATGTGCCGTTGGGCCTGGTCTGGCACGAAATTGTAATATGCAAAACGTCGGTTTTTCGTTCCTGCACTAATTGAAATGTCAACGCCATACCGAGGCAGGCAGGAGCACCCACCGTATCCGCTGTTGCGCGGGCTGCGCTGCGAGCCCTTGAGGTAGGCGGGCGGGGGCGGCCCTCCGCGGTCCCCTCGGTGCTGGTGCTGGTCGTGCAGGCGGTGCTGCCGCGGCAGGGATCCCCCGGGCACCCCGGGCATGGAGGGTCCTCGGCGACGCCCCTCCCGGCCCACGGACTGGGCGCGCAGGCGGCGCTGGCCGTCCCGAGCTGCAACAAGGCCGACAGGGCCACGGAACAGGTGCAGGACGCGCGGCTCGTCTCGGGGAGGGGGCGCAGCGGGAAACGAAAAGAGTAAAGTGTCATATAGCGGAATTTGTTTTTATTTTGGTTCAGGCGGTTCGACAGAGAAAGAGAGCGAGAGAGAAGTTGGAAGCTGTTGGGGGGTTGGTGCTGTGTTTACCTCTGCCAGACTCCTCCCTGTCCAGGGCGTACTTGTTGAAGAGCACGGGACCGGACCCGGGGCCGCCGCCGACACCTGTTGATAACGTGACGGGCTTACTCTAGTGAGCTGCAGCTCCCCAGGACCGGTCAGTGCGCCTAATAGTGATACGATCAATTCTCAAAGAGCATCGCACGAGTTTTTAAATTTGAAAGACTTCCAAAAAATGTTCAAAATGAAACTTTTTAAGAAAAATATAAATGGCTTTAAAAAGAACCCTGACAATTTTAGTACTTTTTTTTTCGAAAAATAACTATATGCAACGGCGCTCCTGACACCCACAGTCTCAACCGCGTCATTGATAACCAATTGAGATTTAATTATGGGGTTCGTTTTTGGGGCGGTTCTTACCAGCGGCCGTGCGCTCCACGTCCATGTCGGGGTAGCCTCTGTGGCCGACCGGGGGTCCTAGCGACGCGCCCCGGTAGCCGACGTCCCGCTCCTCATCCGGATACCTGATGACGAGAGACAATGGGCAATCGGACAGTACTACACACAGAATGATGACATAGCGCGCGAGTGTTTCACCACCACGGACCTGCACTCGGTGTCGGAATGCGAGGCGCGCACGGGGCCGTGCTGCGAGTGCAGGACGGCGTCGGCCGACCTGGTGGACACGCGGCCCGAGCGCCGGAACGACGACATGCGGGTCGACCGCGAGGACGGCCGCGACCTGGAAGCAGCAAGAGCACAAGGGGGGCGGTGCTTGATGTCGTCGACGGGCAGGTGCAAGCCGGCGGCGTCCGCGGCGTCATGGGAGAGGCTCACCTGGCGATGCTCGCGCCGCGGCGCTGCGCGGGCTGCGGCTGACGCGTGCACACGTAGCAGCACACGCGCCAGTACAGGTACCGGAAGGACTGCGCCATCACGTCGCCGATGTTGGACAGGCACAGCAGCATGAGCGGGATCCCCAGGATGGCGTAGAAGATGGTCACCACCTTGCCGGTGACCGTCTTGGGCGCGATGTGCCCGTAGCCTGTGTGGGACAAGCGCGTTGCAGGGGCTACAGTATGAGATGAGGGTAAGGGGTGAAATGCTCCCACTGCACTAACTTGGTGGTTTTGCACCTCAGGTTTCAACTAATCGTAGCCTTGGTGGCCCTGCAGAACCACTGACCTACAAACCCGAAATCCTTCGCCCTCCCCCCTCCCTCTCTTCCCTCGGCATTGGCTACACAGGCTGCCTCCTGGACTGGACCACACTCTGACCGTCCGGCCTGCGGGTGTCCTTGGTGTCCCTTGCGGGGCGCGCGGGTTCAAAGTGCGCGCGCTCGTCTTTCCGGCGTCTGCATACCGGAAGCCGACGGAAGCAGTTCGTGTCCCGTGCCAGCACCTCATCTGGCGCGGTGGCACGCGCTCTGCGTGTCTGCCTCCGCGGCCATCGCATACCCAACATGCGGCAATATCATTATCACGGCAATATCGCCGACCCTCCTCGGCGACCCTCCTTTTCGCCGGACCCTCCTTCTCGACCCTACTTATCGCTAACTACATATCCTCCTTGACTCTTAGAACCACCGCGATGATGATCGTGAACGGGCGCGCCTTTCGCGCTGTGAACCACCAACCCCACGAAGGGCGTCCTTTGCAAAGTTCCACGCGGTTCCACGCGGCCGAGAGATGTGCAGACAAAATAAAAAGACAGGGACGAGGACAGAAACGGGCTTGCAATCAGAGAGAGGAGGGGGGGGGGAAGAAATCAACAAAAAGAAGGAAGAGGCGACCGCGTCGCGCGAGAACATTCTTTTGGCACGATGCGTGCCGACTTGAGGTCGGCCGGTCAGAGTGCAGTGCCAGGCAATGCCTCCGCTCCAGCAGCCCCGGCTTCGTTTTATTCCAAAGAGCTGGAAGATAGATGAGCATCGCCCGCTTTAGTCGCAGTTCTGCCTTCCCCTCTCCCCCGGGGGGCCTTGTGCTTGCCCCTCAGGTGAGGCCCCCGCGCCCCGCCCCGCCCCGCCCGCCGGGGCCCCCCGGAGCGGAGCCGCAATGTTTTGCTCGCCGATGCGGCGAACTGGTTCCAAGCAGGCTGCTGCGGGGCGGGGCGGGACGCGGGTGACGGCGCGGGCACTGCATAGGTGGCGAGTCGCGGGCCGCGCAGGTAGCACCACAGTTGAGAGTAAACAGTCGTCCGGTCAACACCAGCACCATGAACTCCCTCAGGTAAGCCCCGCCGAACACCGCCATCCAATCGCCAATCCCCGCAGCATCAGCCAGCGGGCCGCGGACCCCGCCCGCGATAGCTACATTGTCGGGTGCTCGTTAGTGGCCTGCACGGCCTGTACAGTGCGCGGCCCGGGCCGCCCCGTCCCCCGGGCCCCGTCCCCCGGGCCTCGGCCGGCGGGGATCGGTCCCGCGGTACTCGCCTCACAGGCAGACCTCGCCCAGCGATAACAAGTGTGTGCAATCAGCCCACCGCGTGACCTCCGCCATCCCCCGTCACATCCCATTTGAAAAATAAATAAATAATTAAAAATAAATGTTGAAACTTTTTTTCCATTCTTTTCAAAGGGTTTTGTATCTATATCGTCCCGTTAAAAGAGTAGTCGTGTTCTGTGCGGATCCTCCTCGCGAGCGGTTCAGCCGTGCCCGCCTCTGTGTTGGTGACCTCTCCGACCTCGCTGACCTCCCAAACCGGTTGCTGCTCCCGTTGCGCAACCACTCGGCCGGAAGATCCTGTGTCGCTGCATTTGTGCATCCTCGTCAGCGCTGGTCGAACGTCGGGGCGGCGCATAGGCTCAGGAACAAGTTGTGGTTGGACTGAACCCCGTGCAGCCGAGCGGGCGGGGTGTGCTACCGATCATCCAAAAAGAACGTCCGCCATTCTCGGTTACCTAACTGCCTCATTCCGTCAAAACTGCAAGCTCTCATAGCGCCTGCTAGGTAGGCAACATCTTGCTAGTAGTGCATGCGTGTGCTGCGGGGTGGCCTACTCTGAATCTTGCAGGCGCCAAGCTAGGTCCCGTACCGATTGCGTCAGGGAAGGAAAAAACGGAAGTACTTTCTGGACGATACCTATTCAAGGTACCTCATGATGCCTAGGGCGTGCGCGAACGCGTCGACACGCCTGCATGCGGTACAGAATAGCTAGAAAATGTTTCGGGGGGTATGTTTGCCAACCTGACTTAATGCAAAAATTCGAATTGCCCCTGGATTGGCGTGATTTCGTTTTTTCGCTCATCTGATCCGTTTCCTCTCTGTTCGGGCGCAGGTTCCCCGTACTCGCCCTGAGCCTGCTGGTCGCCGCAGCGTCTGCAGCCCCGCAGGTCGCCCAGGTAAGCAGCCGAAAGATCTGATACCAGACCGCAAACGACGCAAACCGTCTATTTTCACGTTTGTAAATGATAATGATGGTGGCTACGGATCACACTCACGCCCTTTTACCCGCCGCAGACCCTGGCCGCTGCGTGTGATCTCCAAGCCGCCGCCGGCTCCACCGGTAAGCTTCCCCCCGGCCAGACCGGACCGAATCGGCGAAAGGTCAAGCAGAGGAGACCGCTCGCATCACCACACGAACCGCATGTGATTTTTATTTAATTTTTTTTCGTCGGAATCCTTATCCCCGCAGTCGGCGGTAAGGTGGAGCTGCTGCAGGACCATCCGGGCGGCCCCGTGCGCGTGTCCGGCCTCGTACACGGCCTGGGCGCCGGCCTGCACGGCTTCCACCTGCACCAGGAGGGCAAGCTGGACGACAACTGCAAGGCGGCCGGGCCGCACTTCAACCCGCTCAAGGTGAGCCCCGGGGCGCCCGCTGGGTAGGCAGCCAAAGCGACACGGCCGCGAGCAGCCTGGCCTCACACCACGGCGCCGCGCTTCGCGTTCGGTTGCTCTTGGATGAGCCAAAAGGAGGATAATTGAAGAAAACACTTGATTGCTTTATCATAGAGTTCGAGTAAGAATATTTCCTTTCCTTTTCCTTAGGTCAGCCACGGTGCCCCGACTGACAACCAGCAGCACGCCGGTGACTTCGGCAACATCGTGGCTTCGGACCAGGGCGTGTCCACCGTCGACTTCGCCACGTCGCAGATCTCGCTGGAGGTGAACGCCATCAACGGCGCCATCGGCAGAGCCATCGTCGTGCACGCCCTGCCCGACGACCTGGGCCGCGGAAACACCGAGGAATCCACCAAGACGGGGTCCGCCGGCGCGCGCGTCGCCTGCTGCGTCATCACCCAGGCCTACTACGCTTAGAGCGGGTCGTCCTGGCCCGGGTCCCCGCGCCCCCGCCCCATCCCCTGCACCTCATCTCCTCCCCACATGCCCACCACCACCTCCAGCTCCTCGCCGGGCTACGTGTCCGGAGAGACATTTGTAACTAGTC